CCTGAGTTTAGGGCCTTCCTACTTTTAGCTGGGCTATTGGACCATCTCACGAATGATTTTTTTACCCCTTCCTCTTCCTATCCAATGTGTACTTTTCTCCCAGATTATTTTTGTGTAGTTCTGCCTAAATTAGTCTCTGCTCTTAAAGAGCTCACAGCCCAATGGCAGAGATGGTCATGTATACTAAAAATTACGACAAAATATTAGGTAGGCTGTATAATGTTTCTCTGCTTTGAGCCCTACAGGCACTTTGCTTTTATACGCTTGATGGCTCTCAGCATGCTCTGATTGTACAGTCCTAACATTCATTACAGTTGCCTCTGGGGCCACTCCCGAATTGGAAAGGAAGTATATAAGACAGAGGTATAGGGGTTCCCCCAAATAGATCAATTGGAACAATTCTGTTTTTGTTAGATATACATAAAATTTTCATTTAAAAAAAGGGTGATTCTGAGATAGGATCAAGATGGCTGACTAGTCACAAGAAGTATGTACTTCCTCCACGCAAAGGAACCAGAACAGTAAGCAGATTCTTACATTTCAAGCAGATTGTCTAGGACAGAATGCTAGGATTCACCAGCAAAGTGGCAGGAGGCATCAAAAGTGGGTAAGGTTCAGGGCAACTTGGCTAAGAGCTACAAAAAGTCCTGGACATGGGCAACCAGTAAGGGAGAAGTCCCCAGGGGTCCACACTCCAAGACGAGCTTTTACGATCTTGGCTACAAGAGAACCTCCTGAACTGAGCAGGTTTGGGGTCTAACATAGGGAGCTTCTTGGAGATTGCAGAGATGTTGCTCCAGAAAGGGAACCCACACAGGATCCCATAGGCACCGAGCCTAGAGCAGCTTGAGCTGGGCGCCATTCTCAGAGTCTAGAATAGAAAACTGCAGGTGTGTCTACAGACACTGTGCAGCTCTGAGGAGGAACAGAGGAGCCCAGGTGCTCCTGTGCACCCCTGGAAAGGTCCCTACAGCCCTGCTGTGGGTTGCTATTGAGTCCGAGATGTGAGCGGACAGCATTTTCTAGTTTCTTATCCACAATCTTTGCCTGAGCTGGGACTCAGCCTTTCTGGATGTATGCCCAATGTACTATTTGGAGATTGGCTAGGGAGGGGTGGGGAAACCAGGCTTTCCAACATACATTTGGGACAAATCTACCATCCTGCAGCTGGCTGCTGTGAGACTGAGTGTCCAGCAAACTGTACTTCCTACAATTTCCTGCTAACACAGCCTGCTGAGAAAGGTCCCACCCTCACTGGACCCAGGCCCAAGGTGCCATTTTGGAAGTTTAAAGCTGGGTAGTACCCTCCCTCAGGCTGAGTTTAGGCAGCTGCATCTCCACCCAGCTGAGGAGGGACAAGGCAGCCCAAGCTCTACTATACACATCTAGGACAATTCCCACCACCCTGCTAATGGGCTCCTGTGAGACTCAGATGCAAGCAGACTGCACTTCCCATAGTTTCTTGCTCATGTCACTCACCTGAAAGGGGCCCTGCCCTCTTTGATTGCAAACCCATAGCCAGTGGCATTTTGAGAGTTTAATGCTGGGCCCCACCTTGCCCTCAGGCCAAGTTTAAGGTGATAAGGCTGTCAAGGGACAGGGGAGACCAAGCTCCCCAAAGCACACTTAGGAATATACCCACCGCCCTGTTACAGGCAGTTGTGGGACTGGAGACTAGCCTGCCCAATCCATTGCAGCTACCAGAAACACCAATACGGACCACTTGGGTCCTAGTGGGTGGCTCTACCACCGCTACTGCCACCTTCCACATCACACCAGCTGCTCAGGGGCCTGAGAACCCACCCATATGCCCACCTCTCTGCTCTAAATACTAGTTTCTGAGCAAGCTACCTGAAGGCCAAAGAATTAGCCCCAGGACACACTAACACTGCAGCCAGTGTAAGCTGCTCTGCCCACTGCTCAGGCATACTCAGCACACTGCTGCCACAGTTAGGGCCTGAAGATTGCCTTGGCTGGTGTTCATGTCCCTAGCAAAACGTCACCACAGCCTCAAGTAATAAATGTACCCTAAGCCACCAAGGAAATCACAGAAATCACTGACCCTGTGTACTTCCTAAGAAATCATACAAAGATCACACTACTGCAAGGCACTCAAAATGAAAGCCAAAGTGTCCTAGTCAACCAACAACATAAATACTTCTTCAGGAAAAAAATTCTCCTCTTCAAAAGCAATTTAAAAAAATCAGAACAAGTGACTGCTACATCACATGCACAGATATAAATGGAAGGATACAGGAAACAAGAAAAAGGAAATATTAATATGACAACCAAAGGACCACAACAATTGTCCAGCAACAGATCCCAAGCTAAAAGAGTTCTTTGTAATGACAGATACAGACTTCCAAATATTGATTCTAAAGAAGCTCAAAGAGATATAAGAGAAATCTGAAAACCAATATAAAGAAATCAGAAAATCAATTCAGGACATGAATGAGAAATTTATCAAGGAGATAGATGGCTTTAAAAAAAAGAAACCAAACAAAAATTCTGGAGCTGAAAAATTCATTGAAGGAAATACAAAACACATTCAAAAGCTACAAAAACAGACTAGATCAAGCAGCAGAAAGAATCTCAGAACTTGAAGACAGGTCTTTTGAAATAATCCAGTCAGACAAAAACAAGGAAAAAGAATAAAAAAGAATGAGCAAAGCCTTTGAGACATATCAGACTGAATAAAGTGACCAAACTTATGAATTATTGGTTTTCCCCAGGAGGAAGAGAGATCAAAACGTTTAGACAACCTATTTAAGGAAATGATCAATGAAAACTTCCTAGGAATAGCAAAAGAGTTAGACATTCAGATACAAGAGACCCAATAACTCTCAGGCAAATACACTGCAAAAAAGACTTCTCCATGGCATTGCATAATCAGAATCACTAAAGTCGAAGTGAAAGAAAGAATTTTAAAATTAGCAGTACAAAAGTATCCAGTCACCTGTGAAGGAAACCCCATCAAACTAACAGCAGACTTCTCAGCAGAAACCTCACAGCCCAGAGAGAATAGGATGGTATTTTTCAAAATGCTGAAAGAAAAAAACTGTCAGATAAGAATTTTATATACTGACATAATAAGCTTCATAGATGAAGAAGAAATAGTCTCTTCCAGACAAGTAAATGTTGAGAGAATACATCACCACTAGACCTACCCTACAGGAAATGCTCAAATGTGTCTTAAACATGTAAACGAAAGCTCAATATTCATTATCATGAAGACACATGAAATATAAAACTCAAAAAACAAAACAACCCCTGCCATGAGATACCACCTTACCCCTGTCAAAATGGCCAATATTCTTTCTTTCTCTTTTTTACCCAATACTGATAAGGGCAAGAGGGATCATCATGAAAAAGCCAAAACACAGTACATGTTGGTGCACATGTGTTGAAAAAGGAACACTTACATACTGTTGGTGGGAATGTAAATTAGAACCACCTCTGTGGAGATCAGTATGGAGATTTGTCAAAGAACTAGGTAGATCTACCATTTGATCCTGCAATCCTACTACTGGGTATCTACCCAGAGGTAAAGAAATCGTTTTATCAAAAACATACTTGCATTTGCAGGTTTATGGCAGCATAATTCACATTTGCAAAGATATAAAACCAAACTAAGCGTCCATTAACTGATGAGTGGATAAAAGAAATGTGGTATATATATGTAAGATATACCATGGACTACTACTCAGCAATAAGAGAGAATGAAATAATGTCTTTTGCAGCAACTTGGATGGAACTGGAGGCCATTATCCTAAGTGAAGTAACTTGGGAACAGAAAAATAAATGTCACATATTCTCATTTATAAGTGGGAGCTAAACTATGGCTATATGGGGCACACAGAGTGGTATAATGGACATTGGAAACTCAAAAGGAGTGCGGGTAGGAGGGGATGAGGGATGAAAAATTGGGTAACAATGTACACTCTTCAGGTGATGGGCACACTAAAAGCCCACACTTCACCATGATACGATATACACATGTAATGTAATCTAACTTGTACCCCCTAAATCTATTAAAATAAAAAAAAGAAAAAAAGAGGTGATTCCACTGCTAAAAACAAAAAGCGTAAAAACAACTGCTTTATTTATAATTTCTATTAGAGTTACCTATGTGATTAACCAATCATCTCTCTCCACTGGACTGTAAACCTCTACATGACACGGATTGTGTTTTATATGGCTTTTTGCCTCCTGTAGTGCCTACCATACAGTAGGTAGTAAAAAAAAAATATACTGAAACAAGTTTTTGCTTCCATGTACTGCCATGGGTCAATAGCTACATTCTGTAATCTGTAAGCACTGAAATAACACTTTTGTTCTCATCAGAATGCAGACATTTGGAAATGTTCAAACATGGAGTTTTAAAAAGTTCAAGAAGGTTTATTGAGCACATAAATGCACACTGTACTGTGCTAGTTAATGTAACAGAAATGGAGCAGCAAAAGAATAGTCTAAAGGTAGACTATCAAGAATTTTTGGTAACATAAAATTCAAGGAAGGAAGTTTAAAGGAGAAGAAAGTGATCACAAATTTTAAACATGAACAATGTTTTGAAAGGAATGAGGATTGCAATAAAGATCTTAGATTTAAACAAGTTTCTTCCAGGGGTACTGTCAGGATGGATGCTTCTTTCAAAAGTTAAAGAATAAACCACATACTGAGAACTTTGACAATAGGAAGAAAGAGAAATGGAGCAACAGCTATAAAGGATAATATAGGTGAAGCTCTTTGTCCAGTAAATAATAAAAAAATAGCTTATGTTTTATGTCAGAAAGAGTGGCAAAGGAAAAATCAAGGGCAGGGAGGAAATATTTATCGTTGAAAGGGACATTACAAATTCAAAAGAAATGAGAATCAAGGTTTTATAATGTTTATCAATAAAAGAGACGATTATGGAAGCACAAAATATACTGAAGAAGTAACAGGGTTTTTAAAAATACAGTTTCGTATTTAATACTTTGTAATAGATTAATAGTTCCTACCTTCACCACTCTCCATGCCTTCTACAAAAATCCCCCCACATTGGGGAAGAATCCAGTATCGTCGTCTGTAACGATCCTGGCCGAACATCATCGAACGTAACGAGTGAGAAGCATCAAAGAGCTTCCTTCTGTACTGACTCTGTTGCTGTTAAAAAATGGTACATATAATTAAGTTATGGATGTTAAATGCTTTAAAAATTAAAAGGAACTTTATAGTTACTATGCCTTTAGAATAGACAAATTTCACTACTGAGACAAGACAGCAAAAGAGCTAAATTACATCCCTGACTTCAATTTCAGTAATATTTATAAAGATAGAAATTATTTTAAGATAATTGAAGTATTTTTGTTGCCATGGATTAAAAGGATAAGTTTTATTTTATCAGGTATCTTACAGTAAAACATGTTTTATACTTGATAATAAATAATGTGATCAGTATTTTACTGTATCAAAGCAAATTGGCTCAGTTCTATTGATTATAGTATATAACAAATAATATTTATATTTGTAATTGACCAAACCTGTATTTGCTTATATTTATACTCATGCTGTAAACTTAGACAACACACGACAAAGTTTTGGGATAGATCTGTGGTAAGTTTAACATTTATACAACACACAGACATCTCATAATACAAATATATTTGTATTATACAAATTCATTTTTTTCTTTATGAAAAGCTCATCTTAAATTTCACTAATGCTACTGAAATTTATTTTTTAATGAGAAGCACATAAATATGTACAGTTTATAAATCCAATGAAAATAAAATCCACAAATATACAAATGTAAAATAAAACCTAAGATGCTGAAACTATTACCATGAAATTCAACTGAATTTTTTGAGTAATTAATTTCAAGAAATAAAACTATGCCTGTGTTGAAACTTTGTATTTATATGAAGAGCTGAAGAATACAGAGTGTTTTTCCACAGGCTCTAATTAAGTTCAATATCATGTGTTAAGACGCAGGCCTTTAACTTTGGCATTAAACTTTTAAAGTTTAATCGTGAGAATATTTCTGGAGCTCTTCATTTTAGTTAGTAACAAAAAGCTTGTTTTTATTTAGCAGTCAGAAAAAACTACTCCCCCATGCAATGCAGATTTTTAAAACACGGCAAAAAGATGCAAACATTTATCTGAAAAGTGCTTACTTTACTCAGTTTTTCAATCTGTTTTTCTAGCTCTTCAACACTTGCTGCTTGGTCACCTTCATCCTATACATAAGAAAATACAGTATCATTTATCTGTTTTTCTGATTTATTTATTCAATCAATCAGCAAGTATTTAATGAATATCTATTGTATGTAAAGTAGTAGGAGAGGCACTGAAGAAACGACCCAGTTTTTCTCTATAAGCTAACAATCTGGTAAGGAGATACAAAACATTACATTGAAAAAAGAAATACCTAAATAGTAGGAAGCTATAAGGACTTCAGAAGACATAGAGATTAAAAACCATGGAGTTCAGGGGAGGGTGAGATTACCTTTGGTGGAAATCTATACCAAGAGAGGCTATATGGAAGAAGTTATATTTTAATTAGCCACTAAAGAATAGTTAGAAGTTTATTTTTTATATTTTTTAACATCCTACAATGCACAAGAATGGTTAGAAATTTATCAATATGAGAAAAGAGGATAGGGCATTCCATAAAGAGTCTGATATATCTTGACATGAAAGGTACATAAGGAGAGGTAAGGTAGGAGATGAGGCAAGATGAGTTTTGGGCTAGATTGTGAAGAGTTGTAAATGCTTGGCAATGAAAAATAATATGATCCTTTGAGGGAGGTTAAATATCAGAACTCTGCTTTACAAAATTAATCTGGCAACAGTTGTAAGATGTCCTAGAGCAGAGAAAGGTATAAAATGGGCAAAAACAGCTAATAATAGATTGCTGCAATGATTCAAGAGAAAGAGGAGATATGGGCCTTGCTAGGGTAAGAGAAAGAAAAATGGAAAAAAGCAAATGGATGTAAGAGATATTACATAGTTATTGAACTGTTAAGTCCTGGCAACTCATGAATTTGAGGCAAGGAGGTGTGGGGTAGATGATGGAAGGAGCAAATTATGATGTTAAGGTTTTAAATCTAGAAGACTGCAAAAATATTGCTACCATTAACTGAAGGGGCCATTTTTAGAGTGAATAAGGTATATTTTGAACACATTTTGCTGTTAGAATATAAATAATCCCAAGTATACACAGTACTAATTTCATAAATAGAAGATTTGTATCTGATTGCATATAATTTTTCATTCTAAAATATGGAAATAGAAAAACCACCCCCAAATTATATGTTTTAGAGGGAAAGCATGAATAGAGAGTACATGGTCTTCTTTTGATCTTAGCTGCACTACTTGATACATGCAAATTACTTAACTTTTCTAAGACTATTCCTTTATCTGTAAATTGGTGATAATATCCATAACATCGAATTTTTGTGAGGACTAAATACAAACAGATCTGAAAGCAACAGAGTCCCTTCTTTAATAAGAAGATACAGTCATAGCTCAGTTTTTAAAAAAACAGAACTTGTTTTTAATGTTTACTTTCTATGGGCACTTTTAAAAAGCCACATTGCCACCAACCATTCACGAATATTTATTACTAGACCAGTATGGCTATCTACCCAATAAAATGAAATGAAAAGAAGTCCCCAACAGTGATGTCATTATCTATCATTTATCCACTCCTTACCCAAATTTAGGAGACCAAATTAGGAAGGTGTTTAGGTGTATTATTTGTGCTAACAGTAACATAAATTCTATTTGGGATTAAAAGAAACCTTAAAAGACAACAGACTCCACAAAAATTAAATCTTGACTCTCAAAAATATATTTATATATTGATTCCAAAGTGATCTTTTGATCAGCAGGGCAAATGTTTGATAATCTGCTTTTAAAAAATATAATTCAATCAATAAATATTTGAAGTAAGACATCAAATATTTGAAATAGCCAGATAAAAGCCAAATAAATTAACAGTCATTTTTAAGACTTACAATAAGAAAGAAATAAAATGTCTATGAAAGTTTTATTTAAAGGAGTTTTGGCTAATAGTATTTATAATTTTCAGAGTATAAAAGAACTTAGAAGACCAGAGAGAAAGGCAGCAGCAACAACAACAAAACTAAGAACACAGCATCTATCTCTGCCATGGTTCCCCACAGTTTCTCAATCAAAAAAGAAGGCCATTATACGTCCCGATGTGTCAGAGTTTAACTGTCCACAAAACCTCTTACATGCCAACTTGTGAAGTTAAAGCTCACATAGGTCTCAATACAAATTTAAGTATTATAGCGAGACTCCATGTGTTGAAGGAATGAAGACTGAGGAGAGGGAATCATCTTTGAGACAAAGGTCTATGACTTAGTCAAGGGCAGCATCTTCTAATTGAAAGGGATCATACGGGTCTCAATGGAAAAGTTCTCAGCAACTAACCCTTTAGGGAATTTAACCACCATCAATACTCCACGTACAACTTAATCAAGAGGACAAACCCATTTTTTGAGAGCGAATGTGCCTATCTTATCAATCAGTTCATTACGTAGTCATTATATAATTGATAAGTGTCTGCCAGCTCTTCATTACAAAGAATAATGCAAATCATTTAAAAGAAATGTTCATTTGGCTTCTTAGGTCCCAAAATATTTATTATTTTTAAAAGTTTTAAAATTGTTTCCTCACATTCATAAAAAGATATACTTTGCCAAAGAAATCCTACAATCTATTAAACTCTATAATTCAACACTCCTAAAAAAGTAAAATACTACTTTCTCCTCCAAGAAACATTAATAATGATTTTCAAATAGTATACATATAAAGAATAAAATGTATGGTGTGTTAATTCTCTGTTAAAAAAAAAAAGCCAGGTGAAACAAATCATTTCTGTAAATAAATTCAAGTTTAGTTGGATAACTACCCAGTAGAATACAATGAAAACCCAATACAGAGTTGTCAAATTTATTAGAGTTAACACTTTAAAACAATTTATAATATTAAGTGCCAAAGGGGGATACTAATTCTGTGAAAAGGTGATTAATTTTGGTGAGAAAAAGTTAATTCCTGCTATGAAAACAGCATCACTTGCAAAATGAAACAGACTGCTTATTAATGGTATTTTTTGTTTGGGTAATTACAATTCTGATACCTAAATTATACATCCTTCATATTATTTGTCATAGGATGAATGTATTAATATATGATCCAGTGGTTTCCAAAGTACAGCATTATGAAATAATTTATTTCTGCAAGGAAATCTCGATGTAGTCTCATTTTTAGATTGGTATTCATAAAAGTTGTAAAGTAAATTCATTGCAATGAATTCTTGGATATGACACCAAAAGCACAGGAAATAAAAGCAAAAATAGACAAGTGGCACTATATCAAACTAAAAAGCTTCTGCACAGCATAGGAAACAATTAACAGACTGAAAAGGCAACCTACAGAATGGGAGAAAATACTGCAGACCATGTATTTGATAAGGGGTTAATATCCAAAATACGTAAGGAACTCTTGCAACTCCATAGCAAAAACTAGGTAAACCAGTTAAAATATGGACAAAGAACCTGAACAGACATTTCTCTAGTGAAGATACACAAATGGCAAACAGGTGTACGAAAATATATTCAACATCACTAAACAGGGAAATGAAAACCAAAACCACAGTGATATATCATCTCACACCTGTTAAGATGGCTAGTATAAAAGCAGAAGAAGAAGAAGAAGAAGAAGAAAGAAAACAAGTGTTGATGAGGATATGGAGAAAATGGACCCTTAATTTTAATGCACTGTTGGCAGGAATGTAAAAATGGTTACACTACTACGGAAAACTGTATAAAGCCTCCTCAAAAATTAAAAAAATAGAACTACCTGCAATATGATGCCATAATCCAATCTCTGGGTATTTATCCAAAAGAATTAAAATTAGGATCTTGAAGTATTTGCACTCTCATGTTCATTGCAGCATTATTCGCAATGGCCAGAGGGTGGAAGCAACCAAGTGTCCATGAACAGATGGATGGGTAAATAAAATGTGGTATATACGTACAATGGAATATTACTCAGTTTTAAAAAAGGAAATCCTGCCACATGCAACAAGAAGGATGAACCTTGAGGACATTATGCTAAGGGAAATGAGCCAGTCACAGAAGGTTAATTTCTACATAATTCCAATCATATGAAGTATCTAAAATAGTCAAACTCATAGAGATTAGAATGATATAGAGATTAGATTAGTATACCCATACTATTAGATTAGTATACCCATACTATTCAATGGGTATAAAGTTTCAGGTACGCAAAATGAATAAGTTCTAGAGAGCTGCTGTAAAATGTCATGCCTACAGTTAACAATACTATACTGTACCCTTAAAAATTCATTAAGAGAGTGGATCTCAGGCCAAATGTTCTTACCAAACTTAAACAAAAAAAGAGAAGTAAATTTCATGCTAGTAATTGTTATCATTCTGATATTAAAATATAACATTGGGAGGGATAATTTATGAAAACATTTTGCATATGCTATTTTTACCTAAGAAAAAGAACTATGTAGCACATAATCTTATAAATTCTTCTACATTATTCAGATTCAATCATAAATTTGATTCAATAACTTATCCCAATTAGGTATTGTTTTCACACATTCCATCAATAAATTCATCCCTCTAAGCCTTCTTTCTTTATTTTTCTAGCAGTACTGAATTGATGCAAGAAAGACTTCTAGATTTCTTTAGTTAAACACTCCTGGCATTGAGGGCAGAAGAAATAGTTGGCTGTAGACTGTTTTCTTGAGAGCCATTATGCAGCCCTATCAATATTTCTAGCATTCTTTTCTGGTAAAAAGTGAACTTCCGTCTTTTATACATGTCCATTTCCATGGTTTATGGTAGCTTTCCCTGAACATACACACATACAGACACACCCTCCATGACCTTGTTTTCTTCTGTTTGGCCTGCTCTTCAAAGTTAGCTCCTTCATTTTGATTGAAACCGCTCCAATATCTTTAGAACCTTGTACCATTAATTATTCTATCTCTTTAATTTTAAATCTCCCTCTCTCATTTTATTGGCTCTTTCCCTTGAACCAAAAATCATCCGAAGTCTTTCACATAAATCCTTGGCTCTTTGTCTTCCTCTAGGAACTAACTACCCTTTCTTCTGAGGCACAAGATCAGTTGATTGATTGATTTTATTTTATTTATTTTTTTAAATATTAAAATTTTTTACCTAGAGCCACACCCAAGAAGCCTTGAGCAAGTGGACTCCTCTTCTGAGGCACAAGATTTAAAACAGTCATCTTTACTTTCTCACTTTCTATTGTTATCAACCAATTATACAGCCTGGTATCTGCTCTCACTCCTCTAATAAAACTGTGTTGGCACTGGTTACCAGTGACCTCTATGTTGCCAAATCCAAGAAACACTTTCAGTCCTCATCACGCTAGACTACTATGCTGCTTTAACATTGTTTATCACTCCTTCCTTTTTGAAATGTTTGATTTTCTTGATTTTTGTTATTACTACCCGTGTAATAAAATGACTTAATAGAGGAGGCCTGACTGCTATCCTTTGAAAGTCCTGCTTACAAAGTTGGTTCTTGTCTGGCATATGGGAACTTGGATTTCAGGGGGGTTCCTCCACCCTAACTGTTAAGATTGGCTCACTAGACCTAAGGTATTTGTACTAACAATGTGGTTTATACTGAACACCTGCTTTTCGTCAGTGAGTTGGACTTTTGGCACATGCTATGCAGAGGGTACCTACATGACCAGCCCTCAATAAAAAACCTGGGCGCTGAGTCTCTAATGAGCTTCCCTGGTAGACAACTTTTCACACATGCTGTCAAAATGTGTTGCGAGGGGAATTAAGCCCATCCTGAGTGACTCCATTGGGAGAAGACTCCTGGAAGCTTGCACACGGTTTCCTCTGGACTTTGCCCCATATGCTCCTTGATGATTTTGCTTTGTTTGCTTTTACTGTAATAATTCATCACCATAAACACAAGTATATGCTAAGTTCTGTGAATCATTCTAGTGAACCATTGAACTGGAGGAGGTTTTAGGGACCTCTGACCCATTACAGAAATCTCCTACCTCTCTGACTGTTCCTTCTTGAGCAAGAAGCCTTGTGGGTTTCTGTTAAATACGGATGTTCCCTGGGGTTCAAACTTTGGTCCACTATTCTGTTCACTAAACCAATCCTCCTGTGCAGCCTCATCTACTTCGTGATTTTAAAGTATCATCTATGTGCTAACAACTTTCAGATCTGTATTTCTAAGACTGAACTCTTCTTCAGGTTCCTAAATCCAACTGACTGCTGAACTTCTGCACAGGCACCTCAAACTCCACATGTTCAAAAATAAAACTATCATGATTTTATGTCTTTAATTACTGTTCCCTTATCTACTCCTACCCCAACTTTTCATTTACTGTGTTCCTGATTTCCCTATCTTAGTTAATGGCAACAATAGCATGCAGTTTCCCAAGCCTGATAGCTAGAAATCAATCCTACCCTTCCACCAACCTACACAGTCCATCTTCAAATTCTGCCCGTTCTTCCTCCTAAATATTTATTACATTCTTTCCTCCTTCATCCTAGCCACCATCGTTCTAGTTTCTACCATTCACAACTCACTTAAACTATTGCAATACCTCTTGACTGATCTTTACACGTCTAATGTTGCCCTACCCCATTTCTATCTTCCACAAAGCTGCCAGAGTGAGCCACTCAATCAAGTCTGACCATGTTATTCCCTGCTTCTTATAACCCTGCAATGGCTACCTATTACTAAAAAAGCATAAAATCCTAGTTCATTGTTGTTATGTGTAAGACTCTCCAGTAACAGCGAGGCATTTGTAATTCCCTTAAAACACGTCGTGGTTTCATGCTCCTGTGTCCTTGCTTGTGCCATTCCCTCTGCCTGGTATACTCTTCCCTAGATTTTTCCCCAGGTTAACATTCAGCCCAGCTTGTATCTTCAGCTTTTGGGTCCTGAAACCCTTTGTGGGAGTTTATTCCACCAAAGGTCTAAATGCCTTTCCTTTGTACTTGCCTAGTCCATTGCAAACACCCCTCTCAAAGCAGTCGACACATTAACATATCACATTTTCTTTTTGTAAATCTTCCTCAGTAAGACTATAAATTGAGAGGGGACTTTCAGTGTCTTATTCATCCTTGATTAAAAGTGCCTAGAACTAGAGAAATATAACTGGTGTTTGTTTGAGAAATATATCATTATCACTAAACCTGAAAACACTTTTAAAGGCATGAAGCATTGTACGAATGTAACACAGTATGTTAACAGAATTAAAGAGAATACCTGAAATTAAGAAACTGTATAGCTCTTTGGAGAATTCTCAAGTAATTATATACAAAAAGACACTTAACTTCTTTTGTTGAATCTAAGTGCTTTTAATGTATAGGCATTTTATTTAATATTTACATAACCACAAAAAACCTGTAAGATAAATACTATAATATTCATTTTTCAGATAAGAAACTGAGGCAAGTAAATGTCAAAACTGAATTCAAATCCAAATTCATTTGAGTTCAAATTCTGTTTTTTAATATGTTATGCAGTTTTTATTAAGTCTTAAAATCAACACAAATTTGATTACCTCATCTTCACAGATATCAGTCTTCTTTCCTTTTTTGTCTTCTTTATCTTCTTCATCCTCATCATCTTCATCAGCTTGGTCATCACTATCATCATCATCATCATCATCATAGTCACTGTCTCCTCCCTTCCTTCTTCTTTTGCGTCCCGCAGTGGGTGTGCCCAAGGGATGCTGCTCTTCTCCAAGATCAACGCCACCTGAAGTGTCTCTTTTGCCTGTTTTCTTAGCATGAATGATTCTGAGCCTTTAAATATTATAAAAAATGATATGGAATAAAATCCTTCTCTACATACTTTTTAAAGAGCAAACTATGAGTTTCAAGCAAAAATACCTTATAGTATTTCTTTTACGATAAGCAATACATCAATGGCAATAAAACTTAGAATTAAGGAAACGTAAGAGATATGTTTACATAAATTACAGAATACATTAACTTTCAAGAGTATTCTGGATATCTCTTTGGAATTAGAATACATTTCAAAATACTATGAAAGCTGAAAAGATGAACTCTAACAATGGCCAAGTGATAACTTCTGATCTTATGCTATTTGACTGAACAAATTTCAGTTCAAATTACTGTAAAGAAACTATACTCTTAACACGGAAGTTGAGTAATTTTAGCATGATATTTCCTGGCAGGAAGATAATTTAGTCTTAATGTTGAATAAGTTTGGTTAGACTATGTAAAAAATTTTAATTAGAAAGCAATTTAAAAAAGCAGTAGTTCCAAACAGATTCTATTTATGATAAAAGTGACATGATAGCAACAACAATCTTAGAAAATGTGATTGTTTGACTTCTTTGAAAGAAAAGGCGAAAACGACTTTCTTCTAAGTATGAAAATATAAACTCAATGAATTTCATTATATCTTTTGTCCATTGCAAACTCTGGCCCTGAGTTTTATTAATTTCATACCCCATCCTAATTAAGCACTACCTTTTCTTTAGACAATTAAAGTTTAAATTCTATCTTTGCAATTCGTTTGCTTTACTGGAATTTATACAAAAGAAAAACAGTAGTTTAATTTTAATAAAACAGGACTTACTTGCGGAGTTTACCTTCCACCACCCATTTATCTCTCCTCAAGTTTGACATATAATCAATGTTCTTGTCAATTTCGCTGCCAATGTAAAAATTTTTAAAAGATATGAATTAATCCATTTATGCAATGCATTAATTTGGAATGCAAACTAATGCATTTTTGGTAAGTAAAACAGATACAATTTTGTGTGTATATATACATATATGTATGTGTTTACATATGTATGCACATATATGTTGAAAAGTGATAATTTCTTCATTGGATACAACATTATTATTAAAAAATTCACTTTGGTTTCTATCTTAAACTATAAAAGAAACTATTCACCAATTGCCTTAGAAAGACAGCATTCCAAGTTTTGTTGCATACATTTAAGATGTGATAACTTCCAAGATCAAAACAGGAAATCAGAACATATTAATACATGGATATTTACGTAGGTACACATATATACATATGTACATATAAAATCTGAGTGTGTGTATATAAATGTCTAAACAAATTAAGAATATTATGACATCTGGTGATAGTAAGAAGTCAAAGAGGGTACTTTTTTCTTCTAAGGTAAAAACTATGGTATATCTTTTACATTGAATTTGCATGTGTGTGTGAGTGTGATAAACAATTGCCACTCAGCATTACTATTTGTTACCATGCTCATGCTTAATAAAATTATTCTTTCATGAAATTATAAAACCTAAATATCATTATACTCTTTGGGATGATAGTCAATGAATAGCAAAAACAAATGAAAAATTATATTAATATAGTATCATAGCCAAGATATGGACAAAAAACATAATGTCCAGCAATGGTAGAAATGCTTGGCTTTGAATAGTCAGACTGATCCTTTTTTCTAGAAGGGTAAAGGACTAAAAGTGATATATTTAAAATGTATAAAATAACACAAACATGAATTTGCTCACAAACCTTGAAAGACTAGAGTACATGTTGGTATTAGTATTAACGTTTCACTAACAACAAGTACTAGAGTAGAAGACTTACTTTGACTCTTAAATGAGATTAAGTACTTTTTAAAAAAGTACAAATTAATGTATTGATAAACTAATAATCTAAGGTTATACTAGCATATAACAAAACAAGCGATGGCTGGATAATTCTATCAATGGCTACTAAAGAAAATCAGGAAGTCATCTGTCCTCAAAAGATGTTAAGGAAAGAAAAATTCTGGATCCCTATGATGGGGCTAAATTCTGGCACCATAGCAAGAAAAAATATGAAAAATTTCTAGTATATAAAGAATTAACAAAATTATTAAATAAAACACGTGACAAAGACTACAAGTTACATATATACCATATGATCCAATTTTTTTCCCCAATAGATCACAAAGAAATTACATTAATATACGATTAGTGGCCATCTCTAAATGGTATAATTTTAATTTTCTTTGTGTTAGTCTGTAACTTCCAAATTTTATATAATCGATTAGTAATACTTTGTGATTAGACAAAATCAAAACAGAAAAGAATAACAGAAAAGCCTGGGTATATTCTTACCTCACCACACTCTTGCTGCATGCCAATTCATTGATCAGGAAAGCCAGGACTGAGGCTTTCTGTGCTGGAGTATGAGCCTGAAAAGCTTTGGTCTTTAGGCTTTCAGTAAGCTCAGTTTGTCCACAGTGAGCTTCCATAAAAATCTGCAAAATCTCGGAAACATTGTCTCGATTCACGCCAACATTCAGTAAATGTTCTCCAAGAGCTGTTTTGGCCTATAAAAATTTGGCATTTTTATCAGTATTGATCACAGCCATTCAGAACATAAAAACAGTAAGATTAAAAATGCATGTATTACATGTTCTAGATATTACTGAAAAGGGCTTTATTCACTTTTTTTTTTTTTTGAGATAGGGTCTTGCTCTGTTGCCTGGCCGGAGTGCAATGGTGTCATGATAGCTCACTGCAACCTCAAATTCCTGGGCTCAAGCAATCCTCCTGCCTCAGCCTCCTGAATAGCTGGGACTACAGGTGTGCGCCACCACACCCAGCTAAAACTTTATTCACATTTTTGATGAAGTAGACATAAAAATAGGCAATAGATAATAGAAAAATATTCAAGTACTTATACCTTTCTATTCCCTCTCCAAACCATTGGTTTAATGTCATGCAGGGAGAAGATTATGTATACTTATGGGTAGTAGAATTTTAAATCATCTATCAAGTCTTCTCTGACTATAAAAACTATCCGAAGCTTTCTCCCAGATTTATTTAGACAATTTATTAGTCATGGTAGGGTGCTGAGGTTTAAAAGCATTATTATTGTGCTTTCTAGCTTTACAGTCTCATAGGTTTCACTGCTTGGTAAACTGAAAGAATAGGGAGACGGAGGAAAAACTAACAGGTGCATCCGGAAGCTTCTCTCTCTACGATATTATGTAGAAGAACAAAGCTAACTGGAATGTATATCTTAACTGGAACTAAGATAAAGTAGAACTTCTTGAGTATCCACTGAACAGCACAGAGTCTTAACATCCTGGTCTGTAGGTGCCTTGATTAGCCTCAGTTACTCGCAGCGATTGAGAGAAAACAAAGTATAATTTCAGGAGGCACAAACAAGTTCTAACTGCCTTATGAATTACGAATTCTTTGTTTTTGATGAATACCATTTGGGTATTGCCTTAAATCAGCTTAGTCTTTGCCTATAGCTGGAGGAAAAAAGAGTGATTTCAGAATGGTTTATATTCTTTAAGGTTTATAACCAGGTTTTTCTGTTTGTACCAAATATTAATATAACTTGACGCAAGTCTACATTTAACTTTGTGAGACATTACGTGGAAAATTAGATGCGTCTACACAATCTTCTGCTAATATGCTAAAAGCTAGCTATCAATGCACTGATAGTACAATTTTTAAAAAATTTTTTATATATTTTTTTTTTACCTTGTATCCTGTAATTAGACCTGGATCACATACAGCAGCTGAGAGGAGCCTCACAAGCAAGTCTTGTACTTCACCCATGCTGTCCCCTATATTTAGCAATCCCTCTTGAAGAACACTCAGGTTTGGAACATCAATATTCACATCAAAGCCCAAAACTTTACCAAAGTTTCGTAAGAACTGCACCACCATGAGACAGTCTGAAAATGTACTTCCAGAGAGAACAAGTCCTGGAATACGAGGCAAATCTGGCAAAGGCTGAAAATAAAAGAATACATAAATAAGACAAAAAAAACCTTAAAAAATTTAAAGGACATGAATTTGTATCTTTTGAAATTAAAAAAAACTGCTATCTTTTTTTCTTGAATATTGTACCAGTGGTTTTCCCTTTGGATGGTAAATTCCCTGGAGGCATTTCTGTAACCTCCATGGTACTAACCATAGTATCTTGAACACAAATAACCATCAGTAAATTTTGGTTGAATTCAATATGAACTGAGATCTCTGTAAAAGAGACATTAATTTTAATTAACTTACATACTGATAATACATGGATTATATAACTGGAGCAAAAATTAAATAACAAGAAATAAATATTTCAAAAGTACTTTACCAGGGACATATGTAATAGGGGCATGTGTACTGATTTCTTTTAATGATGGAGACATTTAAAATTCAATTAAAATTCACAGAAGCTCTACTTTTTTGGTAGCTCAAAAACTAACAGCAGGCATCTGTGGGCTCTATGGCTGGCTATGTATGGCTAATAAATGCAGATAAATTCTTAGGTCCATGTGACCAGAATCCATGACCCTGAACATAAACCCACTTACAATGCAACTTTAGGTTTCCCTATATTTAGCAAGTATAAGTTTCAGTGTTAAAATTAGAAAGCTGTCTCTGTTGCTACTTCTCAAATATGCTCACATATGAACATTTTAACGACTAAATTGTAGTACCAGTTGTCACAGACATTTTAAAAATTCAATAAATAGGTAATCTAAATTAAAAACATTTTTGTCCATGAATGTGATTCAAAAAAAATACTTTAAATTTTAATTGGAAGAAAGTGACTTATAAATATTTCTATTATCTGAATTGGTGGTCCCTTACTCAAAAATGTTCCTCCACCCTGCACATACAAAAATAATTAACCAAATATTTTTTCTATCAATATTGTGTAGAAACTCAAAACTATGGCTAATAGCTGATGCCATACAAATCTTTTATATTCCACTTGAAAACCAGTTAATTTGAAGTCTCCCTTTTTCTCAAACCAGGTAAGACATATATATTTCCATATAATTCTAAAAATTCATATAACAAATCTAATGTATAGCTTTAAATGGACTTATGTATTTGATATAGTGCATATGAATTTAAATAAAAATAAAAGATGCAAGAAAAATAAAGCTTACTTAGGATTTAAAAAACTTGCTATGAACTTATTAAATATGTTAATTAATTTATATAACTATTCTCTGCTTAAGGAAATTTAAGCGTCCAAATGATTAGAACTAGTAAGTATTCTTTCATTTTAATGTAGAAACATTTATGCTAAGTAAATAAATAGAATATTAATATAATTCAATCTCAACTAGGGTATTAAAAGTTAAAGCACTTTAGAAAAGAACTTATATAAATCAAGAGACAATCATTTTTGTGTATAAGATGATTATGACATATAAGTAAACAGAGATGCTACTGACCAAGTATAATAATATATTATGGGACAGTATTATAGAGATGATATGCATTATTGATATGATTTTCTGGAAGTACCGTTTTCTTAACTATAGTCAAAACATAATTGATTTCTACTCAGAAGTATATGAAATCACGTCAGTTGCCAAGATCTTTGCCATCTTTGTAAATTTCTACTTTTATGTATTTTAGCAACAATACTTGTCTGTGAAGCACCATGGAAGAGAAAACGCATGAGATGCTTTGGTTAGACATAGTTTCTTAGCTTCCAGGATGATAAACATAACAGACTCTAAAGTGTAACAAACTGGGATTTGAATCTAAATTGCCATTATAATCTTGGGCAAATTCCTTAACCTCTTTGTGTCTCAGTTTTCTCATCTGTAAATGGGAATAAATACCAATTCCACAGGATTGTGTTGAGGATTAGAATTCATATAAGTGCTTTGCACAGTGCCTGTCATAGAGTAAACATGCTCAGTAAAGTCTGACTACCATTACTAAAGCATTGAAGGCGGTTATAGATTATAAATCCTAATTTATTTAAACATATATGAGGAAATGGGGAGGAGTCAGATCTTTCTGTGCCTGAACACATGGAAAGGACCAAAAGAAACATGAAAATCCTATCTACTTCTATAATTCTTCTTTCTGCAGTATTTCTACTCAAATTTAAAAGGTGTGGAGTGTTCCGCTTACATATTAAGAATTGCCATTATCAGCATAGGAGCTCCAGAGAGGTTTGTTGGTGGAGAAGTAAATTGATCTAGACTTGGAATTTCATTGCTCTAGTTAAAAATGAGAGGCTTTGATAATGGCAGCTCTGGCAAAGGAATCAGGTGAGAAAACTGGAAATATTAAACTTATTAATGAAATAGCTTACATGCTGTATAAATTACCTTTTGGTCTGCTAAGCACATGTCTTCATTAGGCTTCTTTAGTTCCTTTGCCATTTCTAATTCTAATCTTCGTTGCTCTAGTTTACGCTCTTTATTTAATCTTTTCTCATCGCGTTTTTCTTGCTTCAATCGTTCTTTTTCCTTAAAAAGAAAATCATGTCCACATATTCTCCTTAATCATTATACATGTTTGAAAAAACTAGTTAAAATTTTAAAAGTGATTAAAGTGTTATTATTTCCATGAACAGAATTCTCTTAGGAAGTTTATGAATAAACTTAGAGTTACATAGAAACAACGACTTATTTTGCTTTTTACTATTTTTACTCTTTGAATTTCAAAAAATTTTATGACTGTATATTTAATATTAGATTCAACCCAGACTATTCTATTATTCGAAATTTGTTGAATCCTTTGCCAAGTTATGAGAATAAAATACTTATTAAAAAAAGAAGGCACATAAAAGGCACGTGGGCAACTACATATTTATAAAATAAAGCTAACTAGTATTAACAAAAGTTTTTGTGTGTCTCCAGGAAGCAAAGGAAGATTTACAGCAGGAAAGTGGAAGTAACATGCTTGAATTTGCAAAGCAGTTCTTTCAAAGTGAATTAGCTAGTCTTAAGATTGTACCAGTGGTGAAAGAAAAATATTCTTCATCACCATAAATAACACTTCAGAGAATGTAAAACGGGTTCTGAAGGCAATTGCAAAAGCATTCAAAAATGTTTTGGTAATGGCCATAATAGGGAAATAATCCTCTTGTCTCCCTGTTGTAGGGAATGACTTTCTATAAGAAGAGATTTTCTATTATAATACAATTACCATTACTTTATTGTCATAATCTCAAATAAAATTCTCATTTATTTAGAGGAGAAAGTAGAATCATCATGTAATTCTACCTACCACCTCACACATCCTACATACTGCTGATGGGTTTACTTTTGTAAGGATGATCATATCTCTTCCTTGATTAAAAATCTTACAATTTTCCACCAAAACAAGGTGTAAGTCCTTACTTCTGAATTTGACTCTCTTCTTTTCCAACCTTATCTCTCACTTTTATATTCTGTGTAGATGTAGAATTTGCTATTCCTGATGAACACTTGTTTCCTTATCTCCTTATATTGGTTCACTCCATTTAAGAAGTTCCTTACTCCCATCTTTTTTTTTTTTTAATTATTTTTTGAGCCAGGGTCTCACTCTGTTGCCCAGGTTGGAGTACAGTGGCATGATAATAGCTCACTATAACCTTCAACTTCTGGGCTCAAATGATCCTTTTGCCTCAGCCTCCCAAGAAACTAGGACTATAGGCATGTGCCACCAGGCCCGGCTAATTGTTTTATCTTTTGTTGCCCAGGCTAGTCTTGAACTCCTGGCTTCAAGTGATCCTGATTCAGCCTTCCAAAGTGCTGGGATTACAGGCATGAACAACCACACCCAGCCCCTATTACTAATTTCTATTTATTCTCATAGCTCTTAACTATAATTTTCACATAACACTTATTGCTTTCTGTACTATATTAGTATTAAATATTTGTGCCCATATCCTAACCATCTCCATTTCAATTACCACTGGTAAGTAAGCACCCGACTGCTGTGGGAGGGAAAGGCCAAGAGGGAGAAAAAGAGAAGTGGGGAAGGAAATGTAGCCAGAGGGAAGGTATACTGTGTTTAAAAATTTCTAGAAGTTTCAAGACTAAGGGTAGTTTGCAGGTTGAGTAGTTGCTGACTATTATGATAGAGAGCCAGAAGCCACATCACAAGGGCCTTTTTATATGAAATGCACAAGTTAACTTGTTCATTTTTATACTGCCTATGAATTTCTGGGTTACTGATTCATGCAGACATTTGGGAGGACAAGTAATAAGGAAATTTTTGAAGATTGTTGACACCAAAAAAGTTGTACAATTAATTTTATTAATTATAAACTAAAAAGCAGTTTCTGAGCTTTTAATAACATGAAATATACATACCAGTAACATTCCTACAATGCAGGTGGAGATATTCAAATCAAATTATCAGGTAAAAGTTTGAAGTACTCTTACTACTAACTCTTACAAAAGGGTAGTAGAGTCATTGGTAGAACAATTTTTTTCCCTAGAATTGGATTTCCAATTCTTAGACACATGAAATGTTGTTCTAAGATCTTTTATAAAAGAAGGAAAGATTTAAATTTTTGGTTTCTCACAGGATAATGAATTAGGGTCACCAGTGGAAACAAGCATATTAAATATCTCTTACAGATTTCAAAGTAGCTGGTGTAAAGTTTTCTACTACAGTCATGTGCTACATAATGACATTTTGGTCAATGATGAACCACATATACAATGGTGGCTATACCATATAGCCTAGGTGTGTAATAGGTTATACTATCTAGGTTTGTGTAAGAACACACTGTGATGTTTGCATAATGATGAAATTGCCTAACAATGCATTTCTCAGGACATATCCACATCATTAAGCAACACTGTATATGGGACTAACCCAAACTTAATGATGTTCACAACAGCAATTGTGAGTGTAGCAATTGAGACTACTCTACTAATCACTAAGATTGTTGACAACAGTTACCACTTCTTTTCAAAAAGAGAGAAAGAGCCCAAGTGATGCATGCACTTTTCACTGTGCCAGCTTCCCACTGGTAGCAATCCTGGGGGTACCTACACATGTCATAGATACATGGGCAATGAGGTAGAGTGCGTTGAATGCCATGAGATAAATATGGATTATATTCTTGGACTATGAATTTTACCAGGTGATACGCAACATTTTTTTCCAATGAAAAAAGCATGGCTATAATATTGGAATAGAATGCAAAGGTCGCACCAATATTTAGGATAAAATGGAGATTTCCAAGAAATCTTAGCAATTTATGGGGTCTTTATCAGTTAAAGACAAGCGTCCATTCTTGTCCACTGTTAGGAGTACTTTAATGGAAATATGGAGTCTCTCAATTTAGTATGAATGGTTTAGAACTAATATAAATTCTATGGTTCTGGTACAAGATGACTCTCAAAGAATCAGAGCTTCCAGGGTACCCTCAACCACCAACTAAAATTTAGGATGGCATATAAAGCCAGTCACAATCTAGCCCCACACAAGTTCTAGTATCATATCTCATGATTCTCAGTGCATTTCCCACACTCCAGCCACACCGTGTGACACAGTCCTGTGGAGAAGCCAGCATATAGCCCTTTTGAAGTTAATGCATGGATGGTGATGATGAAACAACAAAGCCAGGATGGGTGTGCACACAAGGTTAAAACTGGCTAAACCCCTTCCTATGCCTCATTCCCTGGTTCTGTTTAGTCACAGCATTGTACCTTTGTATATACCACATGCTCTGCCCGGAATCTGTATAATGCCTGTTTTTTTTTTATTCTTCCCACAACTACTTCAAGCATTTTAATACTTCTCATGTTTGAGCTTCCATATAACTCAGTATAGCATTTATTGTACTGTGTAACAATTATCTATTTAAAGTTGATCTCTTCCAGTTGAGTGTGAGCTTCTCTTCTAGAAGGCAGAGGACCTAACTTATTCACCTGTTTCTTCATGGACCTATTCAATTCCTGGCAGTACAATTTGCTGGACACCTCAAGAAAGTTTTTAATGATTTTACCTTTCCCTGACTCTCAAGCCTGTATCAGTTGAACTCTGCTCTCTCACTAATCTCCCTGATATAAATATTTTCTTATTTCCAACTATAATAGTTATCATATGACTAACGGACATATTCAGTGTGCAATGGTATATAAAAATTATTTATTTAAGCATTTATTAATTTGCTGAATGATTAATTCTTCAAATGACACAAAAATAAAGATAGGGTAACATTTGAACCACTCATTAAACATATATAATATGCAATTTTTTCTTTACTTTTTATATTTCGTTCTGTGGACAAATATAATTGATGTCTTCCATTTTCCGTTACATAGAAACTTTAAATCCAAAAGTGGAGTTCAATATATTTATTAATCTTTAGATTACATTTAGAAATTTTAAAGTATCAAAAATATATTTCTAACATCTACTCCAACATTAACTTCTTAGCCACTTTAATGGCATATGTTGTGATTTAATATGCTTGCGAATAGTCCTCCTCATAAAAATTAAACAGACTTCTTATTATCTGACAATTTTTCCAGAATCTAAAGTTTGAAGTGGCAGTGCTACTGTAGGCCAAATTTGAAGATTTGGAAATTTGAGTGGTATTTTCCTTCTAGACTCAGCATAATGCTTGGAAATGCAATATACTTACCCACTTTTTACCTAAGCCTTTTCGTGATAACTTAAGTTGCCATATTTGATCTTACATCTAATTTTTGTAATACTATATTTTATTGCTATACCAAATATTAGGATTTCACAATAGAATATTCTGCTTCCACAAAGTCAGTTCACAACAGACTTTTATCAGAAATAATACTTATTTTACCTACCATAATATGAAAAAATTATTAAAACATATTTTATGTTAATATTGGTTAAACTGCAGGGTAATAACTTAGACTGACTACAATTGACTAAAAAATAGAGCTCTGGAGTATATTTTAGATTGATGATAAGTAATTACAAGCAAATTAGTATGCCTCATCCATATTTTTTTGTCTTCTTCCCTCTTCTACCTACCTTTCCAGCTGTAGAAATTCTTACAATAAATTTGGATTCTGGGATTATAAATCACTTATAACTAAACATCTTTTTTTATTCTAATTATAGCAATGGGATTTTTATATCAAAATTTTACTAATATTTTAGTTAAGAAGTCAGTTAAAATTTCATTTCAAACATTTGCTGATAGCCAACACATTAAATTTAGATTATCGTAAAAAGTCTAAAATATACAAGGTGAAAATGTAAACATCAATTTTTTTCTCACATGAAAAGGTTATTTTAGGGACTCTAAAAGCATAAGTTAAAGTATTTCCAGAATTCTACAGAACAATAACAAATAAATGAATAAATTTATTCTACTTTAAGTTTAAAAACCAAACAACGAATGTGACAGAATGACCTATTATTGTAAAGTTTACAACTTGTAAGACTGCAAAAGAGGTCATTTTTAAGAGATCAAGTTGCAAAGATGCCTATGGTTTTTGCATTTTATGATTCTACTGGGTCTCTTAGGTGTTTG